GCCAGTTTCCTTGTGGTCTATCAGCTCAGGCCTCAGTGTTGGCACCTCAGTGTTGGATCCTTCTAGCACCTGCTTCAAGGTGGCTGGTTCTGACTGTTCAGTACCCACAGGTCCACTCTGAATCATGGTCCCTTAGAGTGGGGAATTCACAATCCACAGGAGTATTCTACTCATTCCTCAATTTCCCACGGCTTCTCCTCACCCCTCACCCAACAGACGGCTAAGACATCTATGTCGCTGAGAAGATAGGAGCTTTTCTCTTTAAGCAAAAATCTTCATCTAGCACATTATCTGTGCCTCGGGTTTACCCTAGGGATCTTGTTCAGGGAACCCACAGAAGGAATAGATAACATTCTCTTTGACAATGTCATGGGGCTATCAATCAAGTCCTGAGCTAACCTTTTGCCATCAACTGTAGGACAGCACAACTCACAATTGAGGTACTTGGCCAGTGCTTTATCTAAAATGTAGATATTCACTGTTGTCCGCTACAGTGAGAGCTGTATGCTGCAGATAGCAGGTGAAGTGAGAAAGCTGATCTTTTCTGTATAACACGTTTCAAAGCCTTTCTTACATGTTTGCCATAAGGCAGGGCCATTGCAACTCCAAATGACAGTGAGTGTTTTTATTAAAAATGAATAATAGGTCATGATATCTTTGCACATATTTTAGACAGAAACCGCCAAACTCCCTAGTCTCCTCCCACACATTGAAGTAGGAGAAAAAATTCCTTATTTCCTGCTCTCCTCTGTCAAAGTAACAAATTGGTTATGGCACGTGTCCCAAGGGAAATAAAATGCACCCCTTTCCTCGTAGCCTGTTCTGCAGACAACCCTCCCCTCTGTCTCTATAACATGAGATTACCAAGGACTTAAGCACAGTTTTCATTTTTCTATAAATGTCTCAAGTACTGGCATTCCCAACTAATTCTTCTCTATGTTGGGTTTAATAACCTCTTCCTTGAAAAGCTTCTTACTTGAGAATACCAATTAGCTGACATAAACTATTTCTTCTGGAAGATTAACTTGATTGTTTGCTATAGCAGTAAACATTGTCTCTGCAGAACTGAGACCCATTAAGTTGTCTGGCAGAATTTTTTTCTGATTACGAATATAATTATACCTGGTTTAATTTCTAGGGATAATTTTACTTAACTAATTGTCATCAGGCTCAATAGTCAACATAAGTGGAAAACTAAATGGAAAATGGGTCACAATTCAAAGCTGTCTAAAGATAGAAGGGTTGTCCAAAAAAAAATCCAGCCGTGCACTATGAAACACAGTATCAACAATGGCTGTATACTTTTTAGAAAGTCTCATATACTTATACCAAAATTTCATTTTCATTTTTTTCATGTCTATAGTGTAAATTCAATAATGCTTCATTTCTCTAGTGACAGCTTATATTATTCAACTTTTAAATAACTATCTTTTAAAGTCCAGAGTGCTATAGTAACTTATGCTCCGAATATTTTTCATAAATTTATGTTTTGCTACTAAGATTTTAATAAAGCAGAGATAACCCAGACTTTTAAAACTAATTTCTATTCGATATCCACCAAAGATCTGTCTTAGCATAGGATGAGTTCTGCAATGTAACATCCCTAAAATGATTTTTGGGTTTTTTTTTGGCCAGGGGTGGGTTTATACCTGCCAACCTGCCACCTCTAGCAGATGGGGCCAGTGCCCTACTCCTTTGAGCCACAGGCACTGCCCCCTAAAAAGTGATTCTTAAAATGGATATTTCGAATTTAGTAGAAAGTTAGAAACTCTATATATTTAATACAGCCATGTTGTCTTATTACTTTTGAATTTTTGTTTTCCTTCAGAACCTAAAATAACTCGTCCTCCCATAAATGTAAAAATCACAGAGGGATTAAAAGCAGTTCTACCATGTACTACAATGGGCAACCCCAAGCCGTCAGTGTCTTGGATCAAAGGGGACAGCCCCCTTAGGGTAAGTGATGATTTTGTTAACACATGTATATAAAACATATTTACATGGTGCATATTGCAAGGGTGCATATAAAATCTATTCAGAGTAGAACATAGATGTCTTAATACAATAATTAAGTGAGGTGACGGTTATGTTAACCAGTTTGATGTAAGCTTTCTACATTGTCTATAAAATCAGCTCATGTACCCCATAAATGCATTAATGTACACAGTTAGGATTTAATAAGACAATTAAGAGGAAAAAAATAAAAACCAATGACGTAAGCTTCCAAGTCAACAAGGAAATTAAAAATCAAATAGAGAGTAAGAAAGTAGAGTGAAATAATGAGCAGAAATCAATGTAAAATAAAAACAGAAAATAATAGAAATAATAGAAAAGTTTAAAAAAATTACAAATACAATAATTCTTTGTGCACTGTTACCCACTTACAAACTTCTAGTATCAATTTTTTTTCCATATACATTTTAACCAAATCTAAATATTTCTGTTTACATATACGCGAACCCTGGGCATTCCAGTTGGGGCTGGCTAGGGAAAAAAGCAAAGATGGGAACCGAGAACGTTAGGGATGGGAAAGCAATGCAAAGACAAATCAGGGTCTTCTTTATTTGTTAGCTGGTTAAATCTTTTTCTCAATATTAGATCTCTGAGACTTAGGGCATAAAAAAGATGAAAATAAACTCCAGGCTTTAAAACTGCCAGTTTCTTGGAGGAGGAAGGAGAGAAATAGAAATGAGGTTTAAAGAGAAGAAATGAGAATGTTCTGGAGAGAGGTTAGAGCAAGAAAACT